ACAGCAAACTGGCTGTCCGTTAGTAGTCAGTCAATAAGTTTTGAATATGGACCATCCAGACGTGGCTTCCGATATTGGTATGTATCTCCCGATGTCGGGCTGCTTGCTCCTGACCGGCTGCCCAGTGTTTGCGGAGTATTTTTCGTCGCAATTCTCGGCTAAATATATATTGCTTTGATACACTTGCCCCAGGACACCATCCTTTGCAAAACTCCAATATCTTGCCGCAGAACCCACAGCACCAGTCACGCACCCGCCCGAAAGCAGCAGAGTCATTGCGATCAAGCTCAAACATCACTGTGCCCAGAAGCAGTAGGCCCTCGAGATCGCGAGGTTCGACTGCAAGCATCCACTCCAACACCACCCAATCCCAATATCACCCTGACCATTATGTCCCCACGACATACCCATCCTATATGCAACCAGATAATGGCCCAAATCAGCAAATGTATCCTTCGAACCCAGAGGAGATGATTATCCGCTTTGGTGCCCAGCTGGCCAATACTTCTTCTCATCATGGTACTGCTCTTGACCCAATTGTCATTGACCCAAACTTGCAAGCATACGCTGCTGCTGCTGAAGCCCTCGTGTTCGAAACTAACTTCGCGTATCAAGGCCCCGACCTTCCAATCCATGGTCTCCCTATTCATGGCCCATCAGCAGAGCTACCCCCGAACGGTGTCCCGGGCGACGTTCATCCCGATCACAGCCACTACCCTGCCCTGTATGATGGCGTTGAGAATCAGATCCCAGACCATCTGATGCCCGATAACGAGGTCTCAGAATCTGGCTCCCGGAAGCGGAGAAGCACCACAACAACGCTCGCGAACGATAATGAGCTGCGTCGCTTGCTGCGTCAATATGATGGATATTCGTTGCGCCAGATGGCTGCTGAAGTGCAAAAGCATGACGGCGCGGGAGGAAAGGCCGAGAAAGTTAAACAGGTTTTTGCTATGATATGGTACACATTGGAAAGAAAACCGGGCTTTTGATCTAATACTGACCAAACTCACTTAGGTTAAGAGAGAACTGCCAGAAAAGCAAAAAATCTGTTCGTCGGGACCGCGTATACTGTTCTTACGCAGAACAGTGCGGCACTGAGAGAGTTTCCGTCCTGAACCCAGCTTCCTTTGGCAAACTTGTTCGCATCATTTTTCCAAATGTCCAAACTCGGCGACTGGGAGTCCGTGGGGAATCTAAATACCATTATGTTGATTTGTCCCTTCGAGAGCAGGATCGCAGACCTTCTGTAGATATTCTAGGTAACAGTGCTGGAGTTACTAGTGTTGCCCAGCAAAACGTTTCCAACAGCAACATCAATGGAGCCCAAGACAGGTGTGAATAGCTTCTTTATTTATTTTCTCTTTGATCAGTAGACTAACAAACCCTCACAGTGCCTCACAGCCCCAGGCTACAGTGACAAATCCACCACACTCAAACGGCACTACTTCCTCTGAACCTAATATTCAGGGTAACATCACTACAAACACTCTATTAAGCCATTTACAATCCTCAAATCTTGGGATGATGTCATCAGAAGATAAATCTCTTGTTGAGACTCATCAAGCGATAGATAACCTGCTTCACTTCAATCATCCAAATGAGCCTGAACCTGTGGAGAGCGCGCTCTTTAAGCTTCCCAGTATAAAGGGATACCTGCCCGCACATGCCGATAGTGCAAATGCTGAAGCTCTTGAAGCTCTATATCGCTCCCACTGCATATCAGTCATCGACAGCTTTCGCTTTTGTAAAGAGAAAAATTTCTTACGCCACTTTTCTTCCTTTCAAGGCACACTCACCGTTCCCGTTCACAAGGTCCTAACTCTCCCAGAGGTTGCTCCTTGGATTAGAGAATGTGATTGGCTGATGTACAAAAAGATGATTGCGTTTGTGGCACCCTTAACCACTCAGGTCGTCCCGGAGCCGGTGCTCAATGCTTTTAAGTCCATATCCAAAGGACTAGTTACATATGTCCAAAAGTCTATGAAATCTCATCCAGACCATGTGGCAGAGGCTAGACTCAGGCCGGCACGCGTATTCTGCCATCTCCTGAAGCGGATGTTAGACGTCAACCAGTCCGCGATTGCAGCCTCTGCATGGCTTTCTCATGCTGACAATAGAACGAGAATGTGGCAGGATTTCGTGTCGTATATTGACCCGGTCGAGATTGCTGCCAAAGCAAAAATCCCGTCTTGTTCCCTAGCAGGGGTAGTGAGTCTCATGAAACATCAGATAAAGGCATTGGTTGCTCCTGTCGAGGATAACGACGAATCCCCTGACGATGTGCAACTCTACGATGAGCAACTTGGGTTTCAGAAATTTTCCTATTCATCCTCGGATGAAGGCAAATACTCGCAATTCCCCGATCGATGGATCGCGTTCATTTTAAACCTGCCACTCCTCTTCCCCAATCATCGACCGCAGTGCATCATCGACAAGGCAGATGCCGTGTGGACGCTCTTGCTTCATGGACTTACTCTTGGTGGCGCACAGAGCTTCAGCGCGTGGTGGATGACCAAGGTGTTCTTTCTGGAGATGATGTGGTGGCAGGCTGAGAAGGCTGGATTCATGAGTTCCAACTCACAGGCGTTGCTGGAGTTGTCATTTGTACAGGGAGCTAGCTATGCTACAGCACCAGCGCCAGCACCAGTGCCTTCAGCCCAGCAGTCGCATACGGCACAACCGGGGACGGGGTCAGCTAATTCTGCTTCAAATTCATCAGCGCAGGGAGAGGGAGAAGGGTCAGCACAACTTACGAACATATCCCCGATAGCCCAGGCCAATGAAACTGCGTCGTCGGTGTCTCCAGCAGCTAGTTCTGGGAATGAAGAGAGTTCGATTACGGTTGAGAATGCGAATGGGAATGCGGATGCGAATGGGAATGCGAATGTGAATGCTAGTATTTCGCCTACTGGTGGTGCTAACTTGAACAACAACCATGACGATAGTGCGATTGATTTGGATGATGATCCTGCGTTGGTTACTGAAAGCAAATATGGAGATATCACAGCGTCTGATCCGGCTGACGAGGAGGGACAGGTTGTTGTTGTATAGGTACAACAACTTAGCTTGTCCTTTCTGGAGATATTTTCTTTTTTTTCATTTTTGTTTGTTTACGTGATTTACGATATCCGTTTTTATGCCCGGTTTGACTGCACCAACTTGTTTCCCCCGCTTTCGATGGTACATATAGCTCTGTGAACATGCACAATTTCTGTAAGATTTCCCCTACCTGTTTGCTTGTTTTGCATTCCTGTATTTTCTTGGCTTGCTTCGAATGTTGTACTGTCTTCACTCTCGCTTTGGGTTGATTCGAAGGAAAGGTCTTTGGAAAATTCAACAAACGAGACATCCCGACGTGGGGGACCCGGAGATTTTTGGGACTCGATACCAGATGATTCAAAACCACCCTTCCGTCAGCACCTTGTCAAGATGATTTTGTCCCAAAGCTTTCATTTCCCGTCAAATCTGTTGCTGGTCTTCTGTTATTTTGTGCCCCCCTTACTTCCGATACTCCTTGCTTTAGCAAGCTGGATTCTTACACCCACGGTAATTCATAATTTGCAAGCGTCTGGTTTTGATACTCTTGGTTGGTTTACTTTCTTTTCACGTTTAGCGGAGCTGCCTTTTCTTGCATAATTTCTCTCTGAATTATGACACGCTTGATATCCATGGTTCTGGGTTATGTTAATTTTTGTTTTCGTGCCGTACTCTATACACGTTCTTCGTCCTTTCCCTATTACCTTACCACCAAACTTACCCCTTTAACATGTCCCTGTCTTGTTTAATATGAATGCCCCTTCTATGTGTGTGTGTCCCATTTTTGCCTCATGCTGATGAAATAATGCCATCTGTCACTTTTTTCCTGTCTAATTTGTCCTGCTTCCTTTTTCACTTTTAAGTGTTTGCTGCTCGAATCTGCTCATATCACTTTAAGAGTTTTTATTCTAAGCCCCCCTAGTGCCCTTGAATGTTTTTATGTTTGGTATCTGTTTTCTTTTACTTTTTTCTCCTTTGCATATATCGACGCTTGCCCTGTGAACAGAAATACATCATGTCTTCACATGTTTACATCTTCCCATTTTGGAGCATCCTCCTTAGCTCCAGGGGGTTCTTTGTACTTGTCTGTCCTTGCTATACATGACTTTCCTAATTTCATGTACATGCCATTTGTTCTCTGGCTTTGTGGCTGGTTTGTTGCCCTGTTGGTGGGTTTGCAGTGTGTTTTTCTTGTCGTTTTTTTTGCTTGGGATCCCAAGAATATGTGGGTTGCCAAAGCATCGGCTTTCATTTTTAATTTTATGCACAAAGGAGTAAAAAAAAGAAGGATAATTGCCGGTGGTGTTTGTTGGCTTTTGATTCTTTTCCCCCTCATTTTTTGTTTCAAACATTTATTGCCTTTGTGTATGACGGATGAAACAACAGAAGTGGAGGGATGACTGGTGTTGGCAGGGTTGTTTTCAAACAGATGTATCTTACTACGGGTTCATTCTGTCCTCTACTTTCTAACGAGCAGGTACTGATACCTTTTCAGCCAGCGATGATATGAGTTGGCGGGTACGCACTTGATATGTATGTGTACAATGAGATGTCTGATTGAGACAAACTTTTTTACCCTCGGGTTCGTAGGGGCTGAGGTTTTTATTGCAACTTTTGTTCTGTGTGGGTTGAGATGGAGTAATCAAAGTCCATGTATTATCTGTAACGTGTAAAGATAGGAGAATGCGCCCTATTCAGTTTTAACAATTTCTCTTTTAAAAATTTGTGTATCGAGAGGAGAGCGAGTGTTTGTTCATAATATACATCTATAGATGATGGCTGCTTGGTCGAGCAGGAGACAATTTAATTGGGGGGGGGGGAAAGAAGGATAAATCTCTCGAAGAAAATGTATATACATACACACATCCTTTTTTAACTTGCCACTCTTCAACCGATACACGACTAACTCTGCCCTCGAATCCACCAAGATAACATCTCATCCTATTCTTTCCCAATGAAACTCACTCCCTCTTCTCCCTCCCTCCCCTCGAACCACGTTCCCTCCCCCACGCAACAGCCCCCAACTTCCCCACCACCCACAAAAACCCAAGAAACACCACAACCAATGTCCCTATCTCAATCCCCCACACATCCCCAGCACCTCGAATCTTCAACACTGGCACCGTAATCTTCTCAACCATCGAACCCGCACCTGCGCCCGCAACGCTCCCCTGCGCAGACGGGTCAGGGTGGAAATGGTAATACAGCGTGTTGGGCGCGAAGAGGTCATCCCAGCCCAGCCTCACTCTGTCAAAGGGGTTAAGCCCCATTTTCATACCTTCGTTCGCACATGCCCAGAAGACGACGGGCCAGGGCATGCTGATGTTTCGGTACCCGCTGGGGGAGGTGGGGAGGTAGCGGAGGTGTAAGGGGATGGAGATTTGCCAGGTATCCTTGTCGTTTGTGTTTCTCTTGTCGTTGCCTTTCGGCGTGGCCAGTTCGAGCAGTAAACTAGATCCCCAACGCTTCGTTAACCAGTCTGGGGCTTCGAGGTCTGTTTCACCGGCGATGGCGTGGAGGGAGACGAGGTTGTGTGAGTGTAGGAAGAGCGGGTCTTTGGTAGATAGTTGGTATTTATCGGCGAAGAGGGGGGAGGGGAGCGTTAGGTAGGTATACAGCGAGCATTCAGCCGAGGGGGGGAGACGCTCGGGTAGGGATGTTAGGGATGACCGGGGGAGGGACAGGTGGAGGGTTGGGTGGAGGCCTGTTGGCTTTGGGAAGGTGATTGTGTATTTTGAGGAGAGGGGGAGGGGGTGGTGGCGCGATGGGAAGGGAAAGAGGGTGGGATCTATTTATGTGTATCATAATATATGTCAGTAAGAGGGGTAGAAAAGGGGGACGCGGGTGGAGTGGTGGCTGAGACGATAAAATGCGTACTTAATTTCGTATCCTCGCCAACGACAGCCAGGAAACCTCCCACGGAGAGCTCATGTGGCTCTCTTGCATTTTTCATCGCTAATATCCCTACCTCTATTCTGCCCGTGCTTTTCTTGTGTTTATGTATTGTCTCCGACCATCCACCTTTCTGGGAAGTTTTGGACCAATATGCCGCCACTGAAAAGCTATGCGTGGAACTTTGATAGTCGATATCCAATGAATCCACGGAAAGCAGGGAGTTTGCATGCGATTGGCAGTTGGCATATGTATCTTCGTTGCGATCACCATACGCCGGGCAGAGCTTCTCCTGGATATACGTCACAAGCTCGTTAAGGGACGGGAGCAGTTGGTGGAATTGGAGAGACGGAGTTGAGGAGGATCTCACAGCTAAGACTGGCGGCGGTATGAATGACGTCTGCTTTTCCACAATTAATCAGGAAACTGCCGTTGGTTTTCCTTCTGGGTTGGTGTAGTTGAGGAGCAATGTCCCTTTTACCTCTGGGAGTTCGCATTTCAGGCCATCGTCAAACATCTTGCGTAGTAATGGACATAGGAGTGAACTGATTGGACTTCTTTTCAGAGTATAAGCACGGCTTCATAGAACTGGATACAGTAATGGTTCAAGTATGATCAAGAAATCAACACATACGAAGGGAGATCCTGGGAGATTGGCGAGTAGAAGACGTGCAGCCCTGGTGATACTCTGCTTGTAAATGGTGGTAGGGCGTCGTAAACATGGTCCGATGCCCAACGAATATGTAGCTCGTGGCATCGTTTTAGGACTTGCCAAAGCTGTAGTAGAAAACGAATTACTCAATTTATTAGTAACGAGATAGGACACAAAAATGTATCAACAATTCTTTTACTTATAGACATCTGCAATTGGTATGTGGAGAACGCTTAACTTACTTCCTGTGGGAGCTCATTGAAGCTGAATGTAGTTCTGTCCTCCCGGGGACCGTGTAGTGACCGGACAGTTATCGAGTCATTGTTCACGGTTATTTGCTCCGGGTCAAATTTCCCTTCAGCCTCATGAAGGAATGTTATTCTTTTTTTCATCTTTGAGGACTTGGGGGGATTGTGTTAAAATGCTGTCCGTTTCTTGTTCAATGTTCAGGTTGGAGCTGGAGAAGTGAGGTTGAGGCTGCGGGCCCGATTAGGAATGGCGCCAGTCAGCATCTATTAATAACTACGCCAGGCGAGTTCAGGTGTACAATGCAGCATCCCTATTATCTTATTAAATGTATATAATTGTTAACTAGTTAATTCAAGTGGTAACTAAGCTAAAAGCTTTTTCTTTTTCTTTTGGGCTTTTTTTTTTAACAATAAATAAATAAATAAATAAATAAATAAATAAATAAATAAATAAATGAATGAATGAATAATTTGTTCCAACATGAAAACGATCTTTCGTGCCCTTCCACGGGGAAAGAAAAGCAAAGGGGAGTGAGGGAGAACGAAAAAAAAAAAATAAAAATAAAAATAAAAAGGTACATCGAATCGAACCAAAGGAGGGATATGAAGTCACTTATACTCGTATAAGTTTTTGTTTTAAAAGCAACAATTGAGAGAAGATGAGGAACAGGAGGAAAAGAGGAACAGGTAGCAAAAGAGGCGTGAGGGGAGAAGCGTAAGTTAACATGCTTATTCGCATGCGAAAATAAATAACAATATCCCATACCCGTAGTTAATGCGGAACTCTATGCCATTAGCAGTTGACAAAGGAAAAAATTAAATTAAATTAAAAAAAAAAAAAAAAAAGGGTAAATCAAGAAAGCAAAACAGACGAAAAGATCAATAAGAATGGAGAGGGGAAGGAAAGAATCAAAGCGTATCCCACCACGCTCGTCACATCGTATGCGTACGTCAATTCTTTATCACCAAAACATAAACAGATATCCCCAATTTCATGATTCACACTCGAGGACGAGGAGTCCTCAAAATAAAAATAGAGGGCACAAAAACGGAAAACGGGACAATGACTAAGTCCGGATCCAATTCAATCGGCCTCTCCTCCCACCTCAACACCTTATTACAAGATCTCCTTCAACTTCGACTTCTGCGCCGCCGTCAACATCGTCGGGAACTTAACCTTAACTTTGACGATCATATCCCCGCGTTGCCCGGCAAATTTCGACTTGGGCATGCCTAGTGATGGAAAGCGCTCTTCGAAACCTGGCGATGTGGGCCCCGATCCTGATACACGGAGTTGCTTGCCGTCGATGGTGGTGACGGTGCGGCTCCAACCAGTCAGAGCTTCTTTTAGAGGGATTTCGATGACTGTGGTGAGATCGTCTCCGTCACGACTGAAGGTTGGGTGTTCTTTCTGATCGGGTGGGTTGAGGAGTTAGTAAATAAATAGAATAGTGTGAGGGGCCGCAGATAGGAAATATCGTAATTGACAGGACTAGTTGTGTGGGGGCTTATGGGTATGGGTGTGGGTATGGTTGTATTGTATGGGGAAACTCACCTCAGTAATGATGAAATGTAGATCCTGAGTCCCCCCCTCCTCCTGATCCCCGACACCCGCATACTTAATCTTACTCCCCGCTTTCAACCCAGGCTTAACATCAAACTCCAAAATCTTATCCTCGACGTGTCTCTTTCCCGTCACCTCATCAAACGTCTTCCTCTTAATCTTCATCCGCTTATGCACACCCTTAAACAACTCCTCCAATGTGAGCGGCAACGGCTTCTCCACAGTCGTAACCTCCGGCGTCGGCGGCCTGCGATGCGCCCCATTCGGAGCCGCGTTCCGTCTCGCCCCTCCACCAGCACCACCACCCCTCGCACCACCACCTAGACCACCCAGGAACGAAAACAGGTCGTCGTCGTCCATCCCCGCCCCGCCAGATCTGGCAAAGTTCGAAAAGATATCGTTTGGGTTGCTGAATCTGAAACCACCTGGTCCGCCGCTGGTGGAGAAGTGGAATGTTTGTGCGCCACCCGGCATACCTCCAAAGGCCTGGAAGCCGCCGGGCATCCCGCCGAAGGGCATGCCGCCTGGTCCGCCACCGCCGGCTCCGGGATGGGGCTCTGCTGTTCCCCCGCGCAGTAGGAATTCAAGGCCATATTGGTCGTAGACTTTTCGTTTTTCGGGGTCCGAAAGGACTTCGTATGCTTGGGATACCTCTTTGATTTTATAATTGTCAGCCATCTTTATGTTGTCCTTCTTTCTTTTTACTTTTTTTGGTGGTTTCTCTTAGAAGCCTCTTCTCGCTGGAGCTTGGGTGTTGAATGTATTACCTTTAAACTTCTCCCCGGCTGCTGGGTTATTCTTATTTTTATCTGGGTGGAATTTCAGTGCCGCTTTCCTGTAGTTGTTGTGCTTGAGAGTCAGCAGCAATGATCACCGAATTATCAAGCATGACGTATAGAAGGAACAGCTAAAACGGATGAAGGCATTAAAATGCTTGTAAGAAAGAAACGCTTACTTGTAGGCCTTCTTAATCTCATCCTGAGTAGCCGTTGGCGAAATGCTCAACGAGTCGTATAGTCTCGTCTCTACAACCATGTTGAGCTATAATAACTGATGACGAGTGAGGTTGTGGGTGGGGTGAGTATCGGTTTTTATACAGGAGGTGAGGCGGGGTATCGACCGAGTGGAAGAGCCCGGAACGAGAGACGGGAGAATGCAAGACGACTGGTCGAAAGGGAGGACTGTGAAAAGACTGATTGACGGTGTGGGCAGGCAGGCAGGTTTGTTTATATTCGTATATATGATTGGCTGTCTCCTGAGTGGCGGGAAGATGAGAGCAAGAGGAGTGTCATATAGGCCTATATTATGGGCCGTCCAGCGCTGAGTCTATACGAAGTTAGAGGGAAGAAAGGTGGAAAGCATAGAGGGGATAGGACTGACACAGCTACGACCGTGCGTAGACAATGTATAAACAAATGGGTGTTGTGTGCACTGTATATACTATCGTTGCGCTGTGAAGGTGTGGTGTAAAATAGGTGATTTGATGATGCCTTTGATGTTAGTCACACAAGTGGTTGGGTTTCTGCGTGGAATAATGTTGTTATTCAAGAAAGACAAAATACCCCAAAGGGGACTGTCCAAGCATGTCTCTGGGTTCGGGGCTTTGCTGTCGAATATACTGGCGAATCCTGTTGTTTTCTTCCAAGGGATTGTCTCCACCGAGGAAAACTCGTCTGATTTGTTCTTTTCTGTTCTTCAGCCGGGCCAGGAATTTGGTTGCATCATGACATGGGCTGACAACTCAATTCAGCGGAAGCTTCGAGAAGCTTCGACGTCAACGGGGGCTATCTGATCGTTGGATTCAGGGGTAGGTAAGATATATCTTTCCACTGCATCTAGAAGAAGAAATCTCCAACTGATCTTCCTCTTGACATCCTGCTGATCTTTTACGTCTGCTGTCTGTCTGTCTGTCTGGCCGATGTTGATGCTGATGTTAATAATAGACGGCGAATGTCTCTATTCTCGGCGGGCGGGGTCGACCCAGCCCTAATCAGAAGCCCTAATCGGCCCGATGCGGAGGATTCGCTGTCCAGCTGAACCTCAACCTCAAGCGAATTGAGGAATCTTTGTCTATGGTGATATGGAGAAGAGTTACGAAGTACCGTACATGAACACAATATGGATGTCAATATTTATTTTGCCTTGACGGTCAAGTTAACCAGCCAATTCATCCAATGGTTATTTGTGGCTGCAGCATCTATGAACCCGAAACCGCTTCAGACAGGTAACCATAATTTTGACTGATCCTCACTTCGTCGCTATCGACACCACATCCTCATCCGCAACTACATGCCCCAACCCCACCCGCTGCGGCACATGTCGCGCACTGGCGCCCCAAACCAACGCATACTTAAAATTATCCTTCAGCGTCCGATGGATCCGGTCACATACGTCCTCAATCGTAGCGTTGTTTCGGACAATTAGCGCCTCGGAAAAATCAGGGTCGACTCCCTTCCTGTTCATGTTCATTAACATTGTCCATCTTATTTCATCGCTTAAAGGCGACCAGGCAAGCAACGTGTATGTATAGGGGGTAACTTACCGTTTGGTGTATACCCGCATCAACTGCAGTTCCTTCCAGCACCGATCAACGACGTCTCGAATGCCCAGGTCTAGTTCGCAGCTCATGACGCACGTATTAGGCTCCCGTGCGAGCTTGTCGAGGAAATCGACACTGATGCTGTCTATTTTGTTGTAGACGTAGAGACTTTGGGGGGGGGCAGGTGGGTTAGAAGAACGAGATGTACAGGCCGTAGTGAAAAAGGATGCAAATGAATACTTACCATTTAATATATTTCCTATGGTCTTTCATAATCACATCGATGAAATCATCAACCGTGGCTAAGAGACGTAAAAAAATATCATATGGTCAGTTCTCCCAAGTCTCAAGAATTAGGAGAAGAGAAACCTGCATTTCAGGACGAACGAACCATTCTCATCTCGGACTAAAACTTCACAGTTCAAAATCTTGTAGTCTCGTAGAATGTTGTAGAGCATCTTCTCATCAAGCTTCTTAGGCGGCGACTGGAATGTGATTTTCATTCCACCTGCCTTTTTCACTTTTAAGTAGATATTGCTGTCAAAAAGATAGATATCCCACACATCAGCATATCTTTGAAAAATGTAAACTAGGAGCACCAGTTTAATGAACAGCTTACGGAGGGTCTCTATTCAACCGAATACCAACAGCCTCTAATTCAGCTTCCAGGAGAGCCCGTTGCTCAGCGCGTTTTGTAGCATCAAGTATCATCATGATTAGATCGCTAGTCTAAAAGTTGAGATTTGTTAGACGACCCACATAGGAATAACAAGGAACTAGAAGAAAAGAAGCCGGATACACTCATACCTTAGCCGCAGATATAACCTGCCTTCCCCTCCCCTTCCCTTCCGCAGCACCCTCAATAATACCCGGCAAATCGAGAATTTGAATTTCAGCACCCCCATACTCCAAAACTCCAGGGATCGCAGTGAGCGTGGTGAAAGAGTACGCTGCAACCTCGCTTTTTGTCTTGGTAATCTTTGATAAAAGGGTTGACTTGCCCACTGATGGGAATCCCACGAGTGATATTCGTGCATCGCCACTTTTGCTCACATCAAATCCTGAGCCACCACCAGATCCAGCTCCGGCGGTGGGCTCGAGAAGTTGTGCTCGCAATCGTGCGAGTTTTCTAGCGTTTTTGTGAGGGTTAGTCTACACGTTATGGACGATATACCCCTGTGGTTTTTGTAGCCTGTCGTATGGATAGAACGCAGATAAGCCGCCTCTATAGGATTTTACGATAAGACACATCTCATTTCAGGCTGCCTTGAGGTAATAGACTTGATTCTTGTTGTCTGGGGCAAAAGGTGTAAACGGGGAATTTTATCCCTAGGGAGGGCTTCACAGGATCAAATTGAACAGCGCCCCCAAGCAAAATGAACTGAGGATGAGATATAGCCTCCTGTATGCGAAACATACCCTTTGAGCAGACCTAGATGATACTCTAGAAAGCAACTTTGGTATTAACACTGTTCAAACTGAGAGGTAATTAATTAAGTGGAAATCTTTCACGAACCCGTCGCCTTATTCTCTGTTCAAAAAGAGTTAGCATCGTAGAATCTTCTGAGTTTGTCTCTAGATAGAGAAAAGTACTCACTCTGCGTCCTGCGCATTTCCTCCTCGATCCTATACAATACAAACACCGCCACTTAGATATGACCATAGAGCTCAGAGATTGAGGGGAGATTTTCAATGTCTCTCACTCTTTAATTTTCTCCGTGATGTTCACCATTTTGGAGGCTGGTCACCCCCTCTTGGGTGTAAAAGAACTCCTAAAGAAACGAAAATAATGATATATTTTTAGAAGAAGATGGATCTTGAGAAAAGGAAGTTCTCCAGCACAACTAAAATGTAAGCAGTACATTGATATCGCTTCTCCCTAGTTTTGACTTCCGCCCGCTGGTAGAACAGGGTAACTGTGATTACGTAATCTATATTTTATCTCTTCCAGCTCTTTACGACCAAGAGCATCGTCAACAACTTCATCAAGGAACACACCAGCTCCCTTCCAGCCATGGCAGAAGTAGTTTCCATACAAAGTCCTACAGCTCCCTCCGCCTCCGCCTCCCCCTCACCGGACACAGCGACACAAGGAGGAGAAGTTTCTGCTCCCTCCACTGAACTCTCCCTCTCCAATGCCGCAGACACCTCTCTTTCAGCTACCACCACAGACCAAGCAGACCCCGAAAAGAAAACAAAAAAGATAATCCGCCGAAAACGAAGGCCAGCTCGTCCACAAGTCGATCCAGCCACAGTAAAATCCGAACCTCCTCCCCAAACAGGCACAATCTTCAACATCTGGTATAACAAATGGTCCGGTGGCGATCGGGAGGACAAATACCTCGCAAAACACCATGCGCCCTCGCGCTGCAACATCGCCCGTGACAGCGGATATACACGCGCCGATAAAGTCGCCGGCTCATACTTTTGTCTCTTCTTCGCGCGGGGGTTATGTCCCAAGGGTCATGAGTGTGAATTTCTACATCGCCTGCCAGGCCTGCATGACCTGTTTAACCCCAACGTCGACTGCTTTGGACGCGACAAACACAGCGATTACAGAGATGACATGGGCGGCATTGGCAGCTTCATGCGGCAGAACAGAACGCTGTATGTCGGCCGCATACACGTTACGGATGACATTGAGGAAGTTGTTGCGAGGCACTTCGCGGAGTGGGGGCAGATGGAGCGGATTCGGGTGCTGAATTCTCGAGGGGTGGCGTTTGTGACGTATACAAACGAGGCGAATTCTCAATTTGCTAAGGAGGCGATGGCGCACCAGAGTCTGGATCATAATGAGGTGCTGAATGTGCGGTGGGCGACGGTTGATCCCAATCCGTTGGCGCAGAAGAGGGATGCGCAGCGCATTGAGGAGCAGGCTGCGGAGGCGGTGAGGAAGGCCTTACCTGCGGAATTTGTAGCGGAGTTGGAAGGGAGGGATCCTGAGGCTAAGAAGCGGAAGAAGATTCAGGGGAGCTTTGGACTTAGTGGCTATGAGCCGCCTGATGAGGTTTGGTATGCACATACGAGACTGCTGGAGCAAGCTGGCGAGACGCAGCAACTTGAAGCTCCAGCGGAGACTCGTTTGATCGGAAATGCCCCAGCAGTGAAACCGCAGCAGTCCGAGGGAAGTGGAGGCGGAGGTGGTATATTGTCTGGGTCAACTCTAAGTGCATTAAATGGGTTTACGGGGGGGAGTTTTACGACCAAACCATCTGCTCCAGCTTCCAGTGGTCCATTGGTAGCTTATGATAGTGATGACGATAGCGACTGATATATTAATTTTGCAGGTTAGACTTTTGCAAATCCTTACTTGTACAATAGTATTTCTTATGGTCCAGAAAAAAATCAAATAATATTGGTATCATGAAACCCATACATGCAAGTTCATATTCATGTATTTATCTTTCATCTGGCTCATTTCTCATTACTGCGTGAGAGATCATAGTAGATACAACTACCAGTACGATAGTTGTAAATGAACGCATTCCGATAATTCTCTTTCCCATCTTGAGGATCTCGCCGTTCGTTAGCGAGGTCATTAAGCAATTCATGGAGCTGGGCCATATATTTCCTCTCCGTCAACGGCCCGTTCTGAATAACAGCACGCCAGCTATCAGCGTCTGAAAGGCGCGTATGCCGTAGGACCTCCAAAACTTCGTCTCGGGTATCAATTGCCGCAATAGGCCCTTCGAGCGCTCTGTCCATCACGTTACGAGATTCACGAATGGCTAGAAATACTGTCAGACGTCAATCAAGCAACGGAAGGGGATAGAATATGTTTACCAGTTTCAATGATGTTTCGCCTATTTGTTTTCTTATTCCGGTGCAACGCTGTCAAAATCCTTACATCTGGATCTTTTTCTCTGGTCGAAAAGCTGCACTCTTGGTGGTTCAGATGCTTTAGCGGTTTTCCAGTGCCCGTTTGATGCTCGCGCTGATTACGCGCACCGATTTCGCCTCGAAGCCATCCCGCCAACTCAGAGCTTCTCACTTCAAACTCTTCTTTAGTGCTGATATTTTTAACCTTCAAACCTCTCTCCATGCTGTCCTGCTTGACGATCACGACCCAGCTGTGACTGTCATTTCTGTACCGTGAGAGGATTTCTTCCAGAGAGGAGGTGTCGACGGAAAGTTCAGCACTAATCCCATGTGCCCAAAGTTCTTGAATGACTCCAACACCAACGGTGCGAAGGACCGTTGCGTCGAAGCTAGCAACAAGGACATCACACTAGTTATTATTCCAGTCAGAATTAACAAAGTCAAGAATCCGAGAAAGACCACAAAAAAAAATTTAAACTAAACAGACCAACTTACCCGTCTCGACCGCCAAATTCCACTAATCTCTGCCTCTGCGTGTTTGAGGAAAGCTTTATTTGACCCTTTCAAATGGTTTGACATTGACAGACATAACTTTTCCCATCCAAGGTTGAATCCCACGGCATGACGCTGGGTACCATACAGAACTTTAGGGTGGAATTCTTGAATGAGACTGTCATATCTTCCCCCGGCTGCAAATACATCTCGCCTCTTTGTGTCAGAAACACACTGGAAGAGAATACTCCCCCGGAAAAATTTGTCGTTAAGGCTACTCAGGGGGTTCACGTAGATCTTTCTCTTAACGTGAAACCCTTTTAAATACGATACCACCGCGTTTAAGCGAGCGAATATGGGAGCGAGACGGTCTGCATACTCCGTTCCCTCCATAATTGCAAGAAGTCGTTTTAAGGCTTTATCTGGACTATCTATTTCAAAGGCATCAGCAAGAAAGTCATTCATCTAATTAATGGTTGGCATATGGTCACAAACCTCGAAAGTCGAACCGGGAAAGATCATCAATAGACGTAGAGGCGATTCCGACAGTTGGAGAGCGAAGTTCACTGCGAATCTTCTGCATTGTGTATGGTCCAACGTTCAACTTGCTAAGAATTTCCTTCACGACTGGTTTTTGCTGAGGACTGATTCGACAGAATGCCATAATCGCGTCCAAGAGATCCGAGTGATTGATGTGAAAACACATTGGCACAGACCGCAGAGACGGAAACTCATTCAGAATTTCGTCCATGACTTTCATGACCTCTGCCTCCTTTAACGTCAAATCTAGCGTGTTGTGAGATATCATGTCAAAGTCGACTTCTTGGTGGCAACGAGGCGCCCCTCCGTGTATGGACTCGCGGTAGACCGTTCCAAAAGTGAAAGTCTTCTCAATGGACGAGTCTAATCTAGAAATGGAACGTGCGTTTGGAAGAGTAAGATCGTATGGCAGTTGAACTAGGTTCCCTGCAGGATCCAAAAGGCGAACAACACCGGAAGGGTAGTGCTCAGAGCGTGGAAATAACAAACTCCTCGTCGTCTCCACCGCCCCGTGCTTACGAAATATCGATGTCAATTTTTCCTTAACCAAGCTATGAAGCAATACCTCAGAGACTGGTGGTGTCCTACGAGAATCCATATCCCATGCGATATCTTCAAATTTTCTGGGGCGTTGGGAGAAAATGGCTGATAGGATTTTCTTGTAGTCCGGAGAGTTAGGGTCTGACAAAATTCCCATAATGGCTTTTCGAAACATTTCTTCTTCAACTTGCAGAGGAATTTTCCCACTCTGGAGAAGCTCTGCTGCTGTCGGTCGTTCACTTGGACGATGGCTCAACAGGGATTCAATTATTTCACCTTGTACAGCCTTCTCAGGCAACTCAAAAGTTGCTGGAAGAGTGTGGACCTTTTCCCTAACTGCTTTTAAGGTGTGATCACGCTCCATGGCCGTCTTGAGAGGATGGCACATTTCGAAGAATATTATACCAAAAGAGTACATCTACTCATATCAGCATCGAATGACTCCATTTAGGTATAATTGAAGGGTACAACACCGACTCGAAAAAACCACTTACGTCAACCTTCTCATTGTAATGGTCAACTGACACAGATTTCATTTCTGGAGCGACATAATACGTGGTTCCAATACTCCGGGTATACTCGCCTCCGATATCTGTGGTGTTGGATGACCTAAATGCTGTTGTGAATTGACCGGTTGTAGCCAGACCGAAGTCGCCGATACGGGGATTATTCGCAATATCAATAAATATATTATCTGGCTTTAGATCCCTGTGAATTATACCATGACTATGGATATGGCTTAGCCCATCCAAGATCTGCCGAAATAATCTCCAAGAGGACTCAATATCGTCATGTAATCCGTTCCTGATTAAATCGCGAAGTGTCTAGTAAAACGGGGTTAGATCGTTGCTTTCATTATTCTCCAATTAGCGGTGGGGGACTTACGTGCTTCTCACAGTATTCCATCTGAATATAAAGAGTAGTGGTAACTTGTTGAAACGATGATCCGGACGTCCGCCGTTCGATGTTTTGTCCCTCATCTGCTTTCGATGAGCTTTGTTGCCTTTGGTTCCCGAATTGCTCCGAATCCGCTTCAGCATCAGCCTGTTCATCGCTATCATATCCGAACTCGATCTCAGGATATCCTTTTGAGCTTATAAAGTCAAGTCCGCTTGTGCTATATCCAAAACTCCACGCCGTTCCCCAGAGTGATGCGAATTTTCCTCGGTAGACGATACCGCCTCCTCATCAGCAGTACTATAGTCTCGCTCGAGCCAGGCAGTGAAATAACGGACAACATATGGATGATTGAGCCTGGAGAGCAACATAATTTCGGATAACGTGTGCTTCAGGGCAATTCCAGATTTGGAAGATATCTTCTTGATCGCGTAAAATCCTCCATCAAGCTTATTGCGTGCCTTCACCACTTGACCGAAGCCTCCCTTGCCCAAACGCCCGGCTTCATCAAAATCCTGTCCATACCGAGAAAACGAAGGCAAGACCCCATGAGAATCAAGCCTGGTCTGCCGTTGTAAAGGCTGTGAATTAGATGCTACAGACACGTCCACGAACGGGGCATCACTTCGAAAGAATTCGAAAGGTTTGATCTGAAACGCGGTTGGGCGTTTTTTGGGGTCAGGTTTGAAAATCTCCCTGAGAATTTCCTCTAAAGGAGTGGAAAGGTCTATCGCGTTCATCAGTGCATTTGCAGATGTATACCGCTGCATCACGTCCTTGCCAAAACTCATCTGGAGAAAAACTATTCCCAAATCCCACACATCAGTTTTGGTGCTCGGACTCGAACCTTCCTGTGTGAGTTCTGGTGGTATCCAGAACGGAGATTGCGAGGAAGCAAGGGTTCGTTTCGCTCCAGATGGGACTGGCAGAGATTCCTCTACGCCACTCAGGAGCTTGACTACGGTGCTGCTGCTCCGGTTTCTGAATAATAGCACTCTTCCACTGTGAACATTGCCGTGGACGATTCCATGTCGATGATAGAACTCTACCGCCTCAAGTAATTGGATCATCCAGGCCCTGGTAGTGTTATCAGCCACGCTCCCGACAATATCAAGGAGCTCTGAGAGCGACCCTTTGTTGGCATACTCGAAAAGGGTGTATATATGCCAGGTGCTCTCATGGGAAGCCTCTGTATCGAGGGAACGATATATCTTAAACCCAATAAAATCAACTAGGTTCGGATGTCTAAGTCGTTTTAGGATTTCGAGCTTCTCTTCGCAAGACCTTATTTCTTGACGAAGGTCACGGTGGCCTGCGTCCTTCTCACGAAGAAATAACTCCTTGAGGACGAGCAATGGGGCACGAAATCCATCGCCAGAAGCTCGGGGCCGCACCGTAAATGTCTCCTTGTGCGGGGAGCTTCCAATCAGCATCTTCCCGACCACCGACCGGAAGTTAATGAGTCGTCCATTGGAGTCGTTCATTACCAACGGAGGTTCGAACGAGACGGCACCAGAACTATCCTCAGATGGGCTAAGTGATTCAACTCCCTCAAGCATTCCCTTACTTCTCCGCCGCGAAAATTGTTCTTTGGCTCTTTGCTTCTGCTTGATTTTGCTCTCGAGTAGTATTTGTAAAGCTTTTTCTTCTTCCGCAGCGGCTTGTTCCTGCTTCCTCAGCTCTTCTTTCTTTCGTTCCTCGGCCTGCTGGATTGCTGCGGCTTCTTGGACTATACGTTCCTCTTCTAGACTTGGAATATCTTTGTCCTCGGCTTGAGACAATGCGACATCTTCAAGAATATTCTGGATTGATAATGCAAGTTCGTAAATCATTTCCGACCCAAGGAGAGTCTTCGGTTTCGTCTCAATAACATCCATGATCCTAGATTTGGCTCCCTTCCGCAGGTCATCGAGGCCTTTGATGGCCAAGTTCGGGACTGTTTTTGGATATGTGGCAGGTAACGAAACGAACAAATCAACTCGCACATCCGGGTCGGAGGACGCCCTTAGACATAATTTGAAGGATACTTCAGACGCTTGCTAGTTACCAGAACATGAGTACATCATTCACGTATATCTATGTATAGTCGTAAAACCAAACACATATGCAGTACCGTACTTACATGCCAAGCTGCTTCTCGAACTTCTACATCGTCAAAGTCCGTTGAGTAGATTGAGCGCAAGGCATCTGCCTCATTCTTATGAATTTCTTTGTAATTAGTGGCAGGGAGGGCACCGGGGGTATCAGAAAGAATATCCTTTTGCTCTACTTTTAGAGCGCCGTTCTTGTGGACATTGCTTTTCTTATGTTTGTGAGGCATGGCGGGCTTTATATATGAACGTAGCGTGCATTAGAAGGTGATCGTGATGCCTGTTGCTACCCGGTAAAAGTAAGCAACTAAGATGCAGCCGAAGCTGCAGCCCTCTACCTAGACATGGTTAAGATAGGGAATAAATTGTAGGATTAAGATGAAGATGATGTTGTCGCAGAAATATGAAGGCGAGCGCAGGTACATCGTCTGATACATCTTGCGATGTGTCGCTAGGAAGGCGATCTGCTGGAACAACATTTTTCCGTTGCATAACCGGCCAACCAAAATGTATGTACCATGTACCAGGTGAAAAGAATCAGCAGGGTGTTCAGGATGGCCTTTGAATAACAACTGGCACATAAGCCTTGCAATTTTCACTTAATTGCAATCTCATACTACAGCACATACAGCATAGTTGTCCAGTCCAGATAAAGTCGCTGTGGCTGATAACTGTGGCTGGTGAATTAGTTTTCTACGCTAGACCCAAACAGCAAACGGTGTGGCATTTTCCGCGCTTGACGCGCAAGCTGGCGTTAGGTGACGTCGGAGTAAACAAACCACTTCAACATCTCTTGAATAGTACAAGTCACTGCCGGCCATGCCTATCTCCGTGCCATTGAAAAGGATATCGCACCAAAATGGGCTCCTGATATTTTGATTTTAAGCTTGATTTTACCTTGTTTCAAGCGACATTCAGCTAACTATTTAGCAAATATGTTGGGGTGGCTGTCTGGTTCAGGACGCGGTGAATACACGGGCTTTACAGGTATGCTGCGCTATCACACCGCTTCTATACCGTCTCCTATTAAAGGGGGGAATGTTTATGTCTCTAGTTGTTAATTACTACCTGCTAATTATCTTCTCTACTCTCATTAGAAGATTCTAAAGTCCAGGATGCCCCCGAAACCCCAGCCCCTGTCTTTGCCTTTCGAGCTTTTAAAAGCGCCTTTGTAGGCACCCCAGGCCCCGATGCAACCGACGATGAACTTACTGTTCCCATAAAAACATTGAAACCTGCCATTCATCGCAAGAGCATCGATATACATGTACCACCAAAACAAGAAAAGCCTTCCCCAATAGATATGCAGCCATCACTCCCTCAGCCGGATGAACTTACACAACCTATGGCATCGCCCACAAAGAGCATTCTTCTCACGCCAGGAACCGCCTCTACGCGACGGAAGACAGTGTCATTTGGTGAAGGGGTGGTGGATAATGAACGAAAAAGGTCCCCTTTCGAATCCACGGCCTATAACGGCAATATCAGCGGACAATGGACATGTAAACAACATGTAGGAAATGGAAGAAATCGAAGTAAACTCACTCAATCGCTCATAGAAGCTCGGGGACAGAAATTAAGTAACGAAAAGAAACTGAATGAAAATGACGAGCTCTTCGATATTGTTATTCGAAAAGATCCCACGCGGGTTAAGGAGGTCTTCCAATCGGGTAAAACAGAACATGACGAGGAAGACGAAGACGAAGATGACTCAACGACAAACCTTAACGAACCCCGTTCACAATCGGGAATATACTGGAAGTCTGAATTCGACAGTTATAGAGCTAGGACTGATCGCGAGATTAAAAAACTCATTGAATATAGATCTGTCGCGAAGTCCTACGCGAAGAAAAAAGAGTTGGAAATGCGGCGTTTGTCTGATAAGTTGAAACGAGAAGAAGCCAAAGTTGCTGAAATGGAGCTCCATGTTTCCAAACTTGCAGCTGGAATGG